TAAAAAAATATATGAGATTAAACATCACATCAAATGACTAATAATATAAAAAACCATAGAAAAATAACATAATAAATCCTTTAAATATGATAAAACAGTGGATGAGTATAATAAGGCAACAAAAGCTAAACTATAAATTACATGCAATATCTAAAATAAATTACCTAAGTATCTTTGTTCTATTATTAAGCTAATTCTTGTAAAAATATTCTTGAAGGGAATAAAAAGCTTTGCACAACAAGTAATCCTTTAATTGATGCTTAAAAACCTTGAACTCTTGAATACTTCTTATTTGAGAGGGCAAGTTATTATACAATCTTATTCCCATGTTAATCACACTCCTTTTACAACGTGAGGTGTTACATGGTTGGACATACAAATTCTGCTTATGTACTGTGTTATAACCGTGCACATCTGAATACGAGATGTTATATATCCTATTTTTCCTTAAAAACACAACGTCTCAAAGATATACAATGAAGTTAAGGTTAAAATTTTAAATTCAACAAAAAATTCTCTACACGATATCATGTTATTGACTCTTTTGATGAGTCTTAAACTTTTTTTTTTGGATTTTAAATACAGTTTGAATGTCCTTTTGACCACAGCCCCAAAAAATAATACCATATCTCAATAAAGATTCAAATTTCGCAAAATACACACTTCTCAAAATTGGAAGACTGACCAAATCTCATAAGGATTTGATAAGATAGATGGTTTTGTTTAATTTTTGAACTAAATGGTGAATGTGAGAGACTTGGAGACTGGAGACTTGTGGCATTAAGAGATATCTGTTAACCTTTGTGCTAAAGTATCCATACTGTACAAACCTTGATGCTTTGAATTATTTTAAATCATCATTTAAATTTTCATATTGTGAATTTAAATTGAAATATTCAAGCAGGAGCACCTGCTCCTTGTCCAGGAAATGGTTACCTTTCATGTCAGTATCACAGAATATATGAGTAGTAGCAAAAACTTTGAAGAAAGGAATAACACTCAAATTAAGAAATTAAAGTTCATTGTTATATTTAAGCATCCTGTTGCACTCTATACGATAAATGATATGAACTCCGTCCCAAGTGCAAACAATATAGTATATGTCCTTGATCTTGCTCTCCTTTACACTACATGTTTCGGCCTCAAACGGCCATCATCAGGTGTATACACTCACGTTGCTGTTACACTGCACTTGGTTTAAAATTTAACATTTAAAAACACATTGTACCTTTCGTTGTAATTATCAACATCTACTTCGTTGATATCTGTCTGGTTTATAGATTATTTTTGTTACACACACGTTAGCACTTATAAAATCTTTAGTTCTAATTTTAAAATCCTTTAAAATTTTTTTCCCAAAATTTAAGGTACAATGTGTTTTTAAATGTTAACTTTTAAACCAAGTGCAGTGTAACAGCAACGTGAGTGTATACACCTGATGATGGCCGTTTGAGGCCGAAACATGTAGTGTAAAGGAGAGCAAGATCAAGGACATATACTATATTGTTTGCACTTGGGACGGAGTTCATATCATTTATCGTATAGAGTGCAACAGGATGCTTAAATATAACAATGAACTTTAATTTCTTAATTTGAGTGTTATTCCTTTCTTCAAAGTTTTTGCTACTACTCATATATTCTGTGATACTGACATGAAAGGTAACCATTTCCTGGACAAGGAGCAGGTGCTCCTGCTTGAATATTTCAATTTAAATTCACAATATGAAAATTTAAATGATGATTTAAAATAATTCAAAGCATCAAGGTTTGTACAGTATGGATACTTTAGCACAAAGGTTAACAGATATCTCTTAATGCCACAAGTCTCCAGTCTCCAAGTCTCTCACATTCACCATTTAGTTCAAAAATTAAACAAAACCATCTATCTTATCAAATCCTTATGAGATTTGGTCAGTCTTCCAATTTTGAGAAGTGTGTATTTTGCGAAATTTGAATCTTTATTGA